CTCTCTTTTAACGTTGCAGTATGATGGATGCTAATAGCAGATTTGAGAAATGTCACTTTTTCCATTTCACAGTAACTCAGTCCTTGAGCAACAGGTACTGAGGTATTTCATTCTGAATATCAATAAAACCTTTGTGGTTTTTTTCATGATGGTTTGTGGTTTTATGTAAGTCGAAACCTGTTAGTATATTTTGTAGGTGCTCATAGGTCTAATTCCATTTAAAACCTTGTGTATCCTTAATTTTACTGGAAAATAAAAATAAAACTAAAATATAACATTCCTTCAGATGCTATTTTCTTAGATGATCGCCGGCGTCCCGATTATCAGTTTCAGTGAATGTGCAGTAATGTCTCAGTGAATCACAAGCGAGCCTCCATGTCCGCTAGGCCAGGCCCTCGCACACGCCACAAAACACACCCAGCAACCTGCCGCCTACGCCAGAATCCACACCGTCACGGACGAAAAAAAACAACGGGCGCAGAAGGTCCCTCCGCAGGGGCTGTCAGCCGGAAGAGAGGAACGTACAGAGAGACCAGAAGACTCAGACCCATGCTGTGAGGTGACTGCTCCACACACAAACACACACACACACACATTTTTTTTGGCTTGTCCAGATTCAGCAGTTATCTATTACATCCACAGTTAGCCCCCAAACTGAACTGTAACTGTCCCACACGAGCAGGACTGGGTGTGGGGTGGGAGGGGTACAAACATCCTGGCCCTACTGTGAGCGGCAGATGGCATTAAAGGAGGCAGGCCAATTTGCATTTAAATGGGTCCAACAGAAAGCCTCGTGGTCCGGGACAATGTACACCTGCCGTTCCCAAAGGGAGATGCGGAGGAGGTGGCACTCTTGTCTTTCAGCGAGAATAAGCTCGCTGTCCCATCCCAGAGGTGCCGGGAATCTCGCTCCGCACCCTAAGTTTCCAGGGATTCCGAGTTAAGTTACAGCACAATGAAAGACTGGGTCAACAACAGATATAAAAAAGCACAGGATGCCCCACATTCGCCGAAGATAAGATAAGATAAGACTTTATTGAACCCACACCAGGGAAATTTACTTGTTAGAACAGCCTAAAAATAAAGAAATAAACAAACAAATAAACAAAGTAGAAATAAACGAGAAAAATTGTCAATGATCTTCCATCCTTATTTAACTGTTTAAGTACTATGTCGCCGACGGTATTAGCTCAAAACCCCATAATATATACATTACACTTCCTCCCGTGTTTTTCCCTGTGAGAATAGCGTTAAACTGCAAATTTGACCAGACAAACGCAGTCCTCTGTTTCGTGGTGCACCGTAAGACACACAGAGAGAGAAACAGAGACAAGAGGACTGCTTTTCCCCCATCTTGTCTGCAAAGACTTCAACTATGGTGCATAATCTGTGAGACACCGCGGGCTGGGGTCGTTTATGGAGCGCCAATCTCTGCGGGGCAAATTATAGGGTTTTAGTGCGCTCACAGGAGCAGCCAAGGGAGGCGAGGGCAGGATGATTACGACACAGAACGGCAGATTTCTCTCATGCTAACCGATCATGATCTCAGCTTTCCGTTACAGCCTCCACACACTCACCCTGAGGTGGAAGCTTAATGTGGAGACTAGTGGCTAAAGATTTGGTAGTGTACGGTCTGTACTTTCCCCTGGAGTCATGTGATGCTGATCCCATTTACAGTTATGCTACAGTATACAAGCAGATGGTTCTGTCTATATAATCGTTTTTTTTTACCACAAGTATATATTCAGTGTATATGCTTACGGATATTATAAGGGACAGTAACTCAGGGTAGGTACGTATCTTCTTTAAATCCTCAAGGAAGCTGCACCCCACCATAAACACCCAGCACACTTAAAACATCCTAGCAGTACAACTTATACAGCATTTACAGAAATATGTGCCTAATGTATTGTGTACTTAACGCACCTAAAGATAAATTGCGTGGAGTATGTGTCAGTATGTAACTAGGAAATCGTGGGAGCACCAAGATCGAGTCGTGAATGCTGCTGTGGAGTTGTAACTAAAAATAGGCTACCCAATAACCCGAGTTGCTGCGGTGTGGATATTTCTACATTTTTAGCTTAGGTTACAGTAATCATCTTAAGGCTGTTTTAATGACAGTCCTGAAGAATTACAAATCCATGAAAATATTTTATTTACTCGGTATGTCATGCAGAAACCAAAGTTCTGGCGAGAATGTATTTCTCCGTTACAAAATATCAGTGGTACTCAGTTAGGGTCCTGTCCTGGCGCAGGATGCACAGATTTTCAGCCTTCCCCAGCGCTCGACTGAACAAATTTTTACGCTAATTACGCTATTCTCGGCGAGTACGTTTCTAGTGACTGACAGAAAGCTGATACATTGCAGCCCACCAGGACAACCGTATTCAATAAAGACGTACAACACAATCTGATGTACAGCATAAGGCTTCATACATGATTAACAATCCGGAATATTAAAACGAATAAACAAACTTTACATGTTTTGCCCTAGTTCATTAACTTATTATTACGGCCAAATGGACCTTATCATTCCACAAAACAACGAGGGATATCTATCTTATGCATTAATCTGCCAACCAAAATTACTGTAAACGTCACAGAAACGTTCATCTCAGAGGTCAGATGCACGGTGGTGCACCCATGTATTTGGAAAATATACATAAGCTTTTGTAGCGCATCTCGGATGATGCAAAACACCATCAATGCAAGTTTATCGGGGTGACTTTAATAAGTCAGAAGAGACTACAGCTAATTAAAATCTCGGCCGACTGTCACTCTATCCAACGCTGCACACCCTTCGCCTGAAGGGATGCGCAGGCGCGCTTGCACCCCTCACAAAAGCCCCGGGAGGAGCGCTCTGTCCCAGGGGCCCGCACAACGCGTAAAGTGGCGCTTACCGCGGAAGAAATAACAGAAGTACGACAATCACCTGCATTGCAACGTACCTGCAGCGGTCTCAGGGTATCACACTCCAGTCTAGTCCCTTTTCCTAAAGCATGCACGTCCACTCTACCTGCTCACCGCTTTTTTTCCTCCGGTATAAACAACTTGCCGACGAGCATACCCCCCCTGATAGCATTGTTAGGCTCCTGCAAAACCGCTACATAGCAACACCCGCCCACCATGCACGCTGCCAATATGCCGGGAAGGCGGATCTGCTGTGGAACAGTCAGTCCATTCAGGGAGAAGATGTGACCGGCAGAAGGTGACGTTATGTCTTTGTGTCTTTTTTATAGCAGTTAGCGAAATTTCATGTGACGTCACCTTACCGATTTAACTGAATTAAATTAACTGAGTTTAGTGAGAGACGAAGGTTGTCTAGTGTTGCGCATCTCTAAATTTGTTAGTTAACCAGCGTTACATGACATTCGAATTTGATAATAAATATGGCAAATATCGGTCCAGTGGGAATATATTGTGCTTTATAATGTTGATGCTTTCATTATGTTATGCCAAAAGTCAATATAAATACGTCAGTATAAATCAGAGCACCGCAAGTAAACGGAGATATACAGTCACTCTAAATGGTCATAAATTATACACTCATGTTTTATCTACTGGGTATTTCATCGTCTTTTATTTACAGCTAGATCAGCTGTCTAAATGAAGTTTGCTAAAAATTTACATTCAAAGCTAGAGTGACACCTCCTGGTCTCTCCAAGAAAAACTACTGTCGTCCCTCGGCTCGGAACTTCTTGAAAAAGCGCTGTGGAAGCAGATTAGTGAGAAAAAAAGACGTCTATACATCCCGAACCTGAAGTGAATTCTGAGCACTGAATCTGACTTCTATTCAAACAATCTAGCGTATTATTTCTGTACTGTAAACCCACCGCGACCCAGACCAGAATAAGCGTTTAGAGGATGTTTCTATGTACGGATAGATATAATGCGCCCTCTCCTGGAGGCTTTGATACTTGCGCTTCACAGTGACTTCACCTCCCGTTGATTTAGTCCGCAGTTTTTCTGTGCGCTACAAGGTAGTAGCTGGTATGAAGTCCCATAGACTGATTTTTTTTTTATCTTGTGCGCACAAGATACATACCTAGTGCGCACAAGATAGTTACAGTCCGTATGAATGGTCGCGACAGAGGTGAAGCGACATTAAAAATACTTTTTTTTCGGTCGTTATCGGTAATCATAATAATAATACACTATGATAAACAGCTACAGTAAATACATCATTACTGACACCTGTTTATTGTATTTATTGAACCTGTTTATACCTATTTTACTATGATTACCGATAGTGAAAGAAAAAAGTATTGTTCATGGCGCTTCACATGCATGGCGACCATTCACGCGACCATTCACACGGACTGTGTACAGAGGCGATCCTAGGGTCTGTTGGGGCCCCAAGCAAAAATTCACTGGGGGCCCCCCCTCTAACTAGTTTTTGTCATCATTTTAATAATCTGACATTAACAAAAAATTGTGAACAGTAAACTTTTTTTATTTCACAAGTTACCATTTTCAACACGTTAATGGACTTTAAAATATGAAGCCAGCTCTCGTTCGCCATCTAGTGGCTTGGGGGCCCCAAGCAGCTGCCTGCCCTGCCTGCTGACAAGATGCGCCTCTGACTGTAACTCAGCCTTAATGCCAAAGTAGTGCGCAGCAGTGTTGCATTTACTCCTTCGAGTAATATTAATTGCAAGGCTACTGTATCTTATTATATTGTACCCTGATGCCAGCAATGTTTTTTTAGGAGAACGATTCGATTAAACAAGCTAGTAACATCAAACACACAGCAATTCGTCTATCTAATTATGTCAATGAAATCATTTTTGAGAAATCAGTAAACTCTTGAAAATTGCATATGCAGCTTAACCTACCAAACGTAGTACGGCAGCTATACACAGCTAACCTGTTCCTTACAAATATTACGTAACTTGTGCGCACAAGATTAAAAAAAAAAAATCACATCGGGGGCTCCGTATAGTTGAATGGACAGATACATGAAAATGTAAGTGTATTACAGCGAGATGCACAACATTCAATCATCTTCATTCTCTTTATTGCTTACACATTACACACACACCATTGTAGTATTTGTAATCTAATCACTTATTGGTTTTCTTTTAGGGGTAAAGTCTTAGCAAGTCCAGTCATCACTGGTGCCATGTTTCCAGGAACAGAACACCTAAAAAATGCTGCTGTAAACGAAAGCAGTCACGCTAGACCGCGGTTGGTAATTTGGAAACAGCCTTAATTACAGTATTAGGTAGAAGGTCTGCTCTTATGCAAAAGCTACAGTCCAATCAAAGCCAAATAAATGGGCGACTCTTCCCCTCAATTAATGATATGCCTGCTTGTTTTTACTCAGTGTTTTGTTAATATAAATTTATTTTTTGTAAACTAAATTTTATACAAAGTGTGCGTCAGATGTGATGCTGTTATGTTACTAACAGTAACGTGACAGCGATTTGTGCACATTAGTATCGGAAAAGAAATTGACAGGTAAACAGAATCAAACTACACAAGTAACATTTATGGCCCTAGCAGGTTCTTGAGTCTCAGTTGCCTTGAGGCTTTGAACTTCCCTTCTGCTGGAGTGGTCTGGTCTGAATCACAAGATCAGGATCTGTGCTAATCAAAAAAAAAAAAAAACAACAGAGTATTTCAGCGGTGCTAATTAGGATATAGTTCCTCAGCCAATGTATGGGATTGTTAGAGGACTCTTACCAGTGACCAACATCAGCATCTGCAAACTCCCCTCTCTCCACCGGGTGGCCCAAGTCTTTCTTGTTTTCTCCTTCAGGTATGAGCAAAAGAGAGGGACACATTTTTGGGTACATGTCTAAAAGTCTTTACAAGAACAAACAATGGCATGGTCAGGACTAGAAGGCAATTGGGGCAGGGGTGCTGTAGAGGGGCACGGATACCCAAGCAGATTCAGGAAGCCCAGCACATTATGTAGTCCCCTCAAGTAGAGTGCTGGTATCCATAATCTGAAATCTGGAGCTGCAAATATTTAACGTCCTTTGATACTCAAGTAAATTTGGCCTTATTCCTATTCTAATGAATAGCTGTCACTGCAAATCATATTGGGCTGCTGAATTCCGATTATGGATTATGGTCATACCAAAACCAGAACAAAATGTACTGCACAGTCCTGGACTTTAACAGAAATTGCAACCCAGGTGCTAGTCTATAATGTGCCAAACTTAGAGAGGCGGAACACAAATAAGCTGAGACTCCCTTTCTGAAGATGAACGCTAGGATCCTCTCTAGGACACCACTCATCTCTTGCACCTTTATTTGAAATAGCAAATATATATTATACATATGAAATACGACACCTGTAGGGATACTCTCAGTCCGAACGCCAGCCACGTGCAATTGTTGTGCTGGAGACTTCTCCGGCACCTCCTCCAAGGACTCTACCGTGTCCTGACCCTCGAGGCTCAGGTACGCCATGCCTTCTTCATAAATGTCAAGCAGATGTTCTTGGCCCAGCTCTGCTGGGACGAAGCAGTATGGGAGGGAGGGAGGGAGTGAAGAGTCACAATCCTGCCAAACAAGATCAAAATCTAGATTTTATGAATGATTCTTAATTCCTAAAATGTGTAAATAGTCCCTGTATGGATGCTGCTTTTAAACATAAAATAATGCTGATGAATGGAACTACTGTGAGCATCAATCACTATGGATTAACCTATGTAAAACCAGAAATAAAAGTAATCAACAGGAAATAGGGATATCTCAGTGGTGATTGACAGAGTGCAATATTTCCTTCATTAGAACCCAGTTTCCTCTGACCACTAAACATCCCAATGATTCAATATGGTCTGCAGGAGCCCAGTGCACTCGCCTGCTTCCTCCACGTCATATTCGTCACCTTCAAAGTCTGAGTCTGAATCCTCAGAGTCGGGGTGAAGAGCCTGACACTCGCACATGGCAGAAAACATGGACTTCACTAGCAAGACAGATAAGTCACATATTCATCCAAAATGCACATACATTCATCTAAGACACAATAACATAGACAGCAGAGAGAGAGAAGTCTTGCATGAATAACAAAACAAAGATCCCTAGTTCCCTGGAAAACCTGTACAGAGACACAGGATACAGATTCCGCTGCATACGGACACCATGGAAACAAACTGCTTCACGTTCTCATAAGTGCAGCTGGGACTCACGTGAAGCTTTATTACCAGGCACAAAACGAATCTCTGACACGGGACAGGAGGAGTGTTCACTATCACTGCTCCCATCACCTTCCTCATCATCATCCTCCTCAGTTTTACTGTGCTTTTTAGAGACATCTGGAGAGAAAAGGGGGATCTTTTAGCACTTTTTAAAATACATGTATTGAGAACAGGTGGCACAAGAACCTTTAATTAGAAATACTTATCATAGAGTTACAGGGGTTCTTTTCTCTTAAACCAGGCATCTTGGATTTCCTCACTAAAAAAATGTAGTATCAATGCTGCCAATTCCAAAATGAAGACTAAATTTGTCTTGTTTCTTTGTGATGCACCATAAGTGTCAGCGGCGGGTTCTTCTATGAAATCTCCCTGGTGACGCCGTTCTCTCTGGCACATATCCAAACCACGCATAAATAGTACCTTCATAAACAATTAAAAGGGGTAGCACCTTTTTCTCAATATCTCCAATTTCAGTCCGGAAATATTAAGCTGGTCTGTCGACAATGAGTGCAAAAAACAACTGTTTTTTTCCATTTAAAAACTACCCAGGTTGTATGTATGCCCTGACTGACATTTACAACACTTACTAAAACTAAAGAATGCACCCATTAAATAAATGTTACTGGGACACATAAAAAGACCGCTTGCAATGCCTTTTTTCCTCACACGCCATACACAGCTAGTCTGAAGTCAGCGTCTTATTGTAAAATGTCTTTGTCAGGGCAGGTTTTGGCAGAGTTGCACGTTTCTTACAGTGCGCCTTTATGGGTGAAAAGCCAGTTGGAACTCGATTTGGACCATCTTACAGGCACTCCTAGGGAGACGGCATTTTCCTTCCCAATCTCATGATGGGAAAATACTCTAAAAGCCAAGAAACTACTCCATCCAGCGTGCTTTGACTACCAACTACTATTATTGAAGACATCGGTCACAGCCGCGAAGTTTGCATTCCTGTCTTTAGTTGAAGCACTATATCCGCATCATTAATTATCAGAGGAAAACTTGCAGCGTATTCTAAAATGTTTGTTGTAAAAACAAAATCAATTCAATTGTTTTGGCTTTGTGGGTACTTTTCTGAAAATGCCGCAACCTCGTCAGACATTAGTACTAATAAGGCGCCTCACCGCTCATTCCGGAGTTCACCACCAAGTAGAGGTGCTCTTGCGGGTGCACGCCCAGGTCGTGCGTGATGACTTGCAAGGTGATCGACGGGTACTCGAGGGAGAAGCCCATTCCGGACCCATCAAACCACGACAGGCGACTGGTTAACATCATTTTATCAGCCAAGACAAGATATAGACAACACGCTATATAAGTATTTATAAGGGTAAATGTTGTTAGTTTTCGCGTAGAAAATGCATTTTAATAACAAACAAATGGAGGTCAAGTACAAAGAAGTAAAATAAAGAAGAAATACAAATTAAAGATGAATCTTGATTTATACATAATCCTAGTGACCACATTACCATTCCCAATTCAATTCAGTTGAGAATTTTGTACCACGCTATTACGAAGAAAAGATTATATAACATAGTTTTAAAAGATGAAAATGAAGAAAATGGCTATCAATCCTCAATCCCTTTAAACAACACACATTATATACACTGTATACTATAAAGGTTCATCACAAGTCTTACGTTTCTGTTACGTAGAGTGTCCCAGATCCAAGTCCCTTTCCGTCCAAAAACACAGTCGTTTCGGGTTCTTCATGCCAAATGCCTTCGCTCGGAGGTGCAACATTTGTCAGTAACACCATCTTTTGAAGATCTGACCGGGGCGATTCCGTTTGCTTCTCCAAAAGTCGCCAGAATACTTGGCAACTTGTGCAGCAAGCAGAAAACCTTCCTAAAGAGTTGGGTTAATGAAACACAAACGCTTCCGAACAGACAGACCCCGGCCAGTTACCGGGAGGCACAGAGATTTCCCTCTACAACGCCATAACCGATTCGGACGCGATTCTCACGCCGAGTGACGTCACCACTCACCTTCAATTGCCATCTACAGGACTAGTGATGCGCAGTCATATGAAGCCCGGAGCTCCCAGGTGCTGCATGGGACACTGCAGGTGCTGTTCGAGGTGCGCAATGACCTGCTCATTGCTTCCGAAGAAATACTTTACGTACATATTTTCAAAATACTTTAATTATACTTGCTAACTACTTATACTTATTAACCCTCTATTTTAACTGTATGCTGGCTGACCGGGCCAGTTATCCAGTTGATAATAAAACTAAAACATATCATAAGCGGAGACTGACATTTCCTCTTTGGGGGGAGGGGAGGGGGACAAAACTATCTCGCTTAGCCGACGTGTGAACGCACGTATCTGACGCACACATAACCCATTATTTTGTCTACCTGTAGGTTACCAGCAAACCGCTTATGCAAAGATGCAAAGCCCCAGCGCAATTAATTATTTCGACGCAGGCGAACAAGGAGGGAACTTTTCAAATTGTACCATAAACGACTGCCAGTAAAATATGAAAATATTATCCACCCCTTTTCAGTGGCCTCTCTCGGCTGTTTAAACTACATTTAAAACCTAAAAAGTATTTTTATTTTTTTCCACCACCCCAACTCCAACCGGAGTCTCATTTCAGTTGACGTCAGAGTCGTTCTCATTCGCATATTTCGCTGCAGACCAAATGAGTTTAGGTACTAATGTAAACATAAAAATGAACACTATAAAGGTTTAAACACCCATTTTATTATGACAAATGTACAAGTTATCTGTATGAAAGAAATTACAGCAGATGTAATAAAACTTAAGAAAAAAAAAAGACGTACACAGAAAGCAGGTCGAAGAGCTTATGTCGACATCTGGTCTAGGTTTTCAAAAATCTCATCCCACCTTCAGCAGAACACTGAAGACATTTAACACTTTAAAATATTGGCACTGACTCTTAAATACAATATTTTTTTTTTTAATGGAGGATTTAAAGTCAAATAAAACGTCTAGTAGTTTAAATGCCAAATACCGTATATTAAAAACACAACACGATGAAGTAAATGTTCACAAAAAATAAAAATGAATAGGTGCAAATTGTTCCATCTTATTTTGATTTAAAAAGTTGGCAGAATGGCTTTAAAACTAAATATCGATATATTTGGGTATGTGAAGTAAATCATTTTAAGTAAAAGATGTAACTAACAGCTGATACTCTATTGATTACAGGTGATATTATCCAAATGTTTTTTGGGAAACATAACCGTAATTCAAACGAAAACAGCCATTCTAGAACGTCATTTATATTCATGATCTTCTGAGTGTCATTCCACCGGTTACCTCTGACAGAAAACCAGACCAACTTACACTGCAATACCAAGGGTGCGAAACATTTTCAACATTGACGACAAGGATAAGCTGTAAAATTGTAAATCCTCCAAAAAATATATATATATATATTTATAAATAAATTTTAAATCCAAGACTTATGCCCTTTGCAGACTGACATAGAACAAACATGCAAGCACAATGTTTACATGAAAAATGTGTAAATATCACAACCAACTACAAAAATTATAAACAGTTGCAATAGTAAATAATTGCTAAATATATATTTCTTCATGATTAAAAAAGATTCTAAATATGATACAGAATAAACTTCAGATATACACACAAAGATAAGGTTTTTGTAGTCATCTTCTCAAATGAGGGTACTGGTATTTCATCCCAAGCCTGTACATTTAAAACTGAATGAAGTTTGTAATATATCAAGATCCTCCATTGTAACGTAGGCCTAAATTTACCAAAAAAAAGTGTGTTCAAAAAAAGACAGCCCAATCTGCTAGGCCAAAGAACACCTTTCCACAGTTGTTTTGTACATACAATTTGTAGAAAGCTGCAAAAGTGAGCGGATAGTGTTTTCTAGAAAGTTCCAATACACAGAAAATGTGTTTGGAAGGACAATGTAGATTGTACAAAGCAACTGTGGCTTTTCTGAGGTGATCTTTTATAGGATTTTTTTTTAGCAGTGAGACTGGCAGTGACTGCCCCATTTATATGCTATGGTAAAATTTGTGGATTTTCTGTACAACAATGCTAATGGGCTACTTTGTTAATACTGACAACTGTATTTGGTCCCTTTAACAAAGATTACCAAATTTTAAGAGGGTGTAACTTAACTGCTTTGTCAATATACCTTTTAATTCCCCTCCGTAACACTATTTTGGCTGAGCTGAAGTATGACTACACACCCAACAGCGTCATTACTCTTCTAAACATCATCATAATCACGCAGTCTTTAAAGCTAAATTTAAAGACATGCTTTGAGGTTAAGTTCTGCTGGTGGACACCTCACATTCAGTGAACAAAATGTGTAAAAGATGCTTAAAATGTTTAAACGAAGGAATTATAGAAATATGGAGTGTAACTGAATGGTAAAAATGGCATGTCATGGTATTCGTATGACAAATGTAATAGCTGTCCAATGCGCCATTTTTAAATCTTAAAATTTGGCAGAAAATTCATAATTTATTATTATTTGAATTCTGACCCAGGTGTCAGAGGAACTAAAACATTAATTTTATCACAACGTTTACAGCTAGAAATCACTAACGTGCAGCTCGGCATATTTAAGTATTTCATTATCAAAAATGTTAAAATAAAGCAAGTGCAAAATGCATACAGGAATCCGATTATATAGGATGGTTTAAAAAAATATTCCTGGTTTTGTTGTGTCTGTCCAGTACCATGGTCAAAAAGGGAATCTTTATATTATTACATCCTGTTCCCTGTCACGGGACTGAATTGTGAGGAAAGGGTGGGGATGGTATTGTGAATTTACCCAAAATTGACAGGAAGGAATACGGCTTCTACTTGCAAAAGTTTTACATATGAACACATAAAAACAATGGGTTTAAATATTCTAATTTTGCAAGCAGAACATTTAAAATAATAATAATAATAATAATGATAAAATGATACACAGGCCTTTCTGTCAAAGTGGTACTATGAAGAGACATGAAACTGGCTGTCAGTCGAATCCAGCAGGGCCCAAGGGAATCGATGCAAAATCATCCCCCGCCCTGGCCGCTCACCACAGTCAGGATGACATCTCATATATTACACTCCAGTTTCCAGTTTGAACTGGTCTTGGGAGAAAACGGAAGACTGGGTGGTTGAGGTGCTAGTGGGGGACGACACTGAAGACGTGACACAAAGTAACGGAAACAAAAACAGCATCAGCAGTCTGGGGCTTATAACTCTCCACTATTGCAGACATACTCAACAAGGTCCGTCACCCCCATGAGGTCATCCTCATCGTCTTCCTGGGGGAGCATCTCCTGTGGGGTCAAGCCATTGGGTGCCAGCATGGTCGTGGGTGGGGGTGGGCCACCATTCTTGGGCCCCATGTGGCCCCGAGTGATCAAACCCTCCAGGCCCTTCATGGAGCTCTGCCCATTGGCCGACGGCAGCTCCACCAGACCGTAGTCCAGGGGGCTCGTTCCCTTGCCCAGGACCCCCTCTACTACCTCCTCATCTGTGGGGACACATTGGGTTCTTCCCTCATTGCTGCCTGCCACCGTTTCCCCAAGATCGGCTTTCTCCTCTTCAGAGTCATCAGAGTCGATGCGGTTCAGCCTCTTGCGCACAGGTCGCTCTTCTTCCTCAGAATCCTCCGAGTCGTCGTCGTCTTCCTCTGATGCTCTCCGCCGCTTCAGTGTCAGCCGTTGGCACTGCTGCCTGGACTCCTCCTCTGATGAGTCGCCGATCCTCCTCCCCCTCTTCCTTCTCCCCTTGTCTTCATCAGAATCTTTGGAACAGAAACTGCCTGAAGTGTCAGAAGGAGTCAGTTAGTGCCTTGCCTGACCAAACCTACTTCAAAGCATTCATTTAATTCTAAACCTACTTGAAGTATCTACAGTCTAAAAACAGTTATTAAAGTAATACTTGAGTAAAGCATAGTATCAGACCCATGGATTCAGTGTCATTGTTGGATTTAGGTTTTACCTGACCAAAATGTGGAATGACTCTTACATTGATACCTATATCATATTTTTTGGTATTATTTATACTCCCCAATTTTAAACCTATTGATCCATGGCAAGCTGGGATGAGCATAAGAAATATACACCTGCCCCATCTTGGCTTGCAGATTTAGCTGTGGAGTCATAGGGTGAAGACTATTTGTTCATCTAACTCATCTGAAGAAACAAAATTTGCATTCCCTGTATTATGTGCTTTACTTTTAACCATCTTGGATTTCCAGATGTCTGCATTTCTGCCGGGACAGAAGCCCTGTCTTCATCATGGGAGGAGAACAGGGCACTGTAGCCTTAGAGGTGCCTCACCTTCGCTGTCAGAGCTGGAGAGCCGCCGGCGGAGGGGTGCTTTTGGCCGACCCTGGGAGCCCTCGGAGTCCGAGGTCTCACAGTAGTTCACCTGTCGCTTCCGACTTCGGCGGGATCGGCGGCAACGTGCATCCAGGTCACTGGCGCTAAACTCGCTGGAGCCCTCAGTTACTGCAGTTGTGAAAGAAGAAGAGGCGTACTTATGAAGATCAAACTATTGTAAGGACAGCTCAAAGTGCTTACAATCATTGCCTGTGTTCATTTAATGATATTTGTTTAAAATATCATTTGGTAAATTATAATTTTACTGTCAAATAAGTTCACTTCATATTTCCTGCTTACCTATTTCATCCTCCTCCTCCTCGTCAGTCTCGTCTTCTTCCTCATCCGAGTACCGCCGTCTCCGGTGGGACTGTCTCAGCGCGATCCGTCGTGTACTTCTCTTCCTCACAGAGGACCGTCTGGACCGCACAGCTCCATAACGTGGGCTTGCGTCAACACTGCCAAAGTCACTGTCATCATAGGACTGGATTTCTGCTTCACTGTCCACGTCATTGTCTGACACCACAAAATCTTCTTCCTCTGAACTGGAGGGGTAAATTGACATTTCATTCTTGCTTGTAGCAAAGGCTATTTCACAGTTTTTATAGAGCGCTAACTACATGATGCTGGGACAACAATATTTCCCGGACGACCTCCATCATCCACCCCTCCCAATCTAATCCCTACTCCTCCCACACCCTCAACCTTTACAGCCCCCCCCATGCACTTTCCCCAACTCTCCAAAAAAAAAAAAGTCTTAATTAAAAGCCCAACTTGTCTCAATTTAATCAAGTTCACCAGATCTGCATCTGTGGCTGTCCTTTCACATGCCAGACCTTCAATTTTAGTGTGATTCATCTGAAAGTAGCTAAAGGTAAATCAAATACCTTTAGTGTTACCACATTTACAAGATCAAGCGATCTTCTGTAGCCGCCTTTTCCTTCCCATGCTGCTGCCTAGCTCAATTGGTGCAATTTGTCTTGAAATTAAACCCGGTTTAGATCTTCATTCATATGTTTTTTTAGATAATATCCATCAAAAACCTTGACTTACTCCCTTACCTTGTGAATGTGATAAGTAGAGCTTTATTGTCATCCCAACAATACACAATAAGTATACAGTGAGATGAAATATCGTTCTCCATGACCAAATGTGCAACATAGAACACAACAGCCCACAAGTCAGATCACAATGAGGGTGAGAGGGATAATAATTTACACTACACCTATATACATATATTTATCTAAATGAACATATAACAGAGTAGACAATAGACTAGGACTGAATAGAAAGACAGTCAAGTATCAGTAACCATTCCCTCTGCTGCCACTAAGCAGCATTGCTTCAGTTTGGGTGATCCGTAAAATACTTTGAATTATTGCGCTAACAAGATCAAGTTCCTGAGGCTGCCTTTGCTATTACTGTGTAGCACTGCTTCAATATTGGTGTGATTTGTTGCATAATTTGATCGGTTCCTGATCTTAACCAAATCTGTCTGTGAAGTTTGAAAAAGAACTATTGATACTTTTTGACCTATTGTGCAAACAGAATAAGTGCCTGCAGTAGCGGACCGGTCCCACAAACGTATGTATTCCCCAGGGAATACAATTAGCCACCTCACAGGAGCTAACTGGGTCTTTTGACTAAGTCCCAAGACACCTATGTACCTGTTGCTGAGGCGGAACTCCTCCTCACTCTCCTCCTCTTCCAGGGTACTATCGCTGTCCAGATCATTGAGGCGTCGTCGCTTCTTCCTGCGGTGGGCCGAGTTGGCCTTGGGAGGCCGGCCATTCTCCTTTCCCTCCTCTGACAGGATGGTAGCCATGTCCTTTCCCCGGCCTGCCCCTGTGTGGGGTACCACATTTACATCAAACACAAATTCCTTTACACAAGTCGTCCCCATATATGCCCATTTTAATAACGCTTCAGTTAGGTAACAATATGACAGAAGTGTTCACCATACACACTGGAATCTTTCAAATCATCATAAATCAATTCATGGGATCTCACCTCCTCCCTCTGCCTCTTTGATATCCTCCTCAATGGCCTCCTCAATAGCCTCATCAAACTCATCAAACCTAGGGAACATAGGTATGCAACATAGATCAGGAATTCCCCACTGCAAGCCCACAATGCACAGCAGCACTGGTTGGTTACAACCACACAGACCTGTAGCTAATTTGCTTCCTTGCTCGGGTTGACCGTCGTCCAAAATTCCGGCTTTTTTTGGTCTCTTTCTTAATCTCCTCCTTCTCCCCTTCCTGTTCCTCTTTCTCCTGCTTCTCCTCTTCCACTTCAACATCCTAAAAAGAATGGGGAAGTTAATTACATTCACCCAAAATTTCAACTGAAGACAAATGATCCCTAAACAATGTTTCGAGAGATGGGATAGTGACTGAACAGTTAAAATCTGGCTTTTGAACCATATGGAAGGTCTGTCATTAGGTCTTCGTGGATGGAGCAAATTCCAATTCCAAACTGACACAATTGAAGACCGGATGGGTCAACTACACCACCCCTCAAAATGGCTGGGGTTTGAACCTACAACCTTTCAATCACGGGCACAGAGGTTTAGCCCACTGAGCCACTTACCGCCAAACTGGGGTAACAGCCACGTATGGATGCAAATATGCACTGAGAGAAGCAACTAGTTTTAATTTATCCTGAAATGGTGCTAATTAAGAGGATTTTCACACACTTACAGTAGGAGGGATGATGTTCTCAACACTGATCCCTACATAGACCAAGCGTTCTTTCCTGTTGAGATAGTAAAGGGAATATTACTAAACGTATCAACACAAACATGACACGGACCTACAAAAATTAACAGGCTGGAGAAACAGCTGAAGCAGCGGAAACCCCCAGCATGGAAAAGCTCAGAGTAAGACAAAAATAAAAGACAGCTCCTCACCTTCTTTCCGCTCGTTCCCTCTTCTTCAGAGCCACATCCAGGTTCTGCAGCTGTTCTTCTAACCGTTCACATAGAAGTTTCTGCACCAGATGCAGAGGAATAACTATTTAAGTCCTTGCTAGGTTTGCAATTTTTGTTAATATCCATTTAGCCAGATAGAAGGTAGCTAACTGGAGACTTTGTGAGTCATATAGCATTAATAAGCAAGGCAATAACACGTTATTTCATCACATAATTGCCACAGTAAATGAGAGAGGTATCGCTGCAGACCCTCCAAAAGACCGTTTTACTGCTTACATGCTGGCAGGGCGGGCAGAACCACTCGCCGTCGGGGATGATCATGAGGGGTGGCCTCAGGCAGGCCGTGTGGTAGCCACTGTCACACGAGTCGCAGAGCAAGATCTGTGGGTTGGTGATGTGGGACATAGCTCTTAAAAGTAAGCTCTTAATTAAAGCTACTATTCGGATGAAAGTTATTTACTAGGTGGATTGCATGTGAGTCACTACAAATCCAAAGTCGAGCTGCATGGTGCCTTTCAAATAACTATCACTTCTCTACATACACCCATTCTTGGAAGCCAGTCATTCAGGACCATGTAACCAGAAACTGTTGCAACTTACCAGTTCAGGATGGTTTGGGAGGCCACAGTGTTTGCAAGGATCATCATTTGGTATCTCTTCCTCAGAAGAAGAAGGTGAGGATGTATCAGAATCATTCTTCTGTCTGTTGCGATTTTGCTTTTTCTTCTCCACTTTGTAATCTTCATCACTGTCATCGTCCTCAGTCTCCTCTTCTTCCTCCTCCTCATCATCCTCACTGGAGTCTTTTGTTTTGCGCCACCTAGTCCGAGTGTTGGACCACCGTGCTCGTCGCTGCCGTCTTCGGCCCTGAAAGAACAAAAACAAATCTCCCTCGTAACCCTGTACCCTCTGATATTAATTAGAATGTTCACCTTATATTTAATAATATTAATTATCCTTAATATTGAAAAGGCACATACCTTTGTAGACTTAGTCTGACCATCAGGATCAATCTTGCGGTCCCTCTGCTTTCTCTGACCAATCTTATCCTCCTTATCGTCCTCCTCCTCATCTTCCTCAGCCACAGACGCTGCAGCTTGCTTCCTCTCCAGCTTCATGTCCTGGATTTCAGCAAGCTTGGCAGTTGGGCGACATATCCGTGGTGATCTCCTCAAAGACCTTCCATCAGCCAGTTCTGGGTCAGCATCCTTCTGGATCTCTGCTGTTCTACGGTGGGTTGGAATCTTGATCTTCAAACGAATGCCCTCCTGTTGGATCTCTGATGATACTTCACCGTTCCCCTTTCCTCCTTCAGTCTCCTGGTCCTCTTTGTTGTTTTCTTCTGAGTCTTCTATTTGCTGAACTACTTGTTCTTCCACCTTCGTTTGAATATCTGCTTTGTTTGTTGGACCCGCAATTTCCTCTTTTTCTTCTGCCTCTGGTTTCTTTTCTTGGCTTTTCTCTTCTCCAAATTCCTTTTTATCCTTCTCAGGACTAGTTTCCTCTGCAGTGTCATCCATAATAGGGCCACTATCCAAGGAAGGGTCTACAACTCTGCCTGGTTCTTTGTTCAGTTTCTTTTGTTTTTTATCAGACACACCATTGCTCAAATTCTCATTAGTGTCAGCAAGGGTTTCAGCAGTGGATTCCCTTGGTTCTTCTTGGCCTTCATCCTTTGAGGGATGTTCCTTGGTTGCAGTAAATACTGCATCAATTTTCTCTTCTGAGGGTACAGAAGTAGAGCCAAATGCATTTTCAACAGGAATGACTACATCTTTCTCTTCTGCAGCTGAATCAGAGACGGAAGTGGTTTCCTTTTCCTCTACTCCTATTTCTACTCCTATTTCAGGGGCAAAACTGTCCACACCAGTAGCAGCTTTGCCGTTTCCTACTTTGATTGCATCAGAGATATCAGAAATATTAACACAAGTATTTTCCTTTTCCTCTACTGCAGTTGCATTATAATCAGAGATGGCTTTCATTTCTCCTATTGTAGAGGCCTTAGATCCAGAAGTATTTTCTGCAACAGTGGTGTCCTTTTCTCCTACTGTAGTTGTTTCAGAGCTCAAGGAGCTTACTTTCTCTCCTACTAAAACATCCTCATAGCCAATAGTGGTTTGCTTTTTCTCTAAAACAGTGTCCTCAGATGTAGAGGAAGTATCCTTTAACCCGATATCAATAGCCTCAGATCCAGAAAGACTTTCAGGACAGATGACTACCTTATTCTCTACTATAATGGTATCGATGCTAGACTTTATTTCTTTTTCTTGCAGTGGATTGTCCTCACTACTAGAAGTGGTTTGCAGTTTCTTTACCGTAGAATACTCTGTTCTAGAAGCAGTTTCCTTCTCCACTTGTGCAATAGGCTCAGAACCTGGCATTATTTCCATTGGTTCCACTGCAGAGTCTTCTGAGCCAGAAACTGTTCCCTTCTTCTCACTGTAAGTGGTTTGAGGCCCAGAGGCCAAACCCTTTTCCACTACTGGAATGGCCTTCAGAGCAGTTTCCATTGTTTCTGCTGCAGTCTCCTGAGAGCTAGAGCCTAATGTGTTTTCCTCTTCTGAAAAAGCCCCAAGATCAGAAGACATTTCCACTGTCTCAACTACAGTCTCCCCAGAGCTAGAGGCTGACCCCTTCTCCCCAACTGGAATGGCCTCAGGATTCAAAGCCATCTCCACTGGATCCTGAGAACCAGAGACCATTTCAGCTTTCGCTATTGGAACAGCCGCAAGACCAGGTGCCGTTTCAGTGATCTCAACTGCAGTCTCCTTAGAGCTCGAGATTGATTCCTTTTTCCCAGCTGGAATGGTCTCAGGACCCACAGCCATCTCTATGGTTTCTTTTAAAGGATCTTGCGAACTACAGACCTGGTTATTATTTCCTACTTGAACATTATTATCAGCAGATACCACTTCCATTGTTTCAACTGCAGCCTTCTCAGAGCTTGAGACGGATTCCTTTTTCCCAGCTGAAATGGTTTCAGGACCCAAAGCCATCTCTATGGTTTCTTTTGAAGGATCTTGCGAGCTACAGACCTGGTTATTATTTCCTACTGGAACATCATCAAGAGCAGATATCACTTCCTTTGTTTCTGCAATCTTCTCAGAGCTCGAGACTGATTCCTTTTCCCCAGCTGGAATGGTCTCAGAACCCAAAGCCATCTTCCCTGCTTCATTTGAAGCATCCTGAGGGCCACAGCCCTGTTCATTATGTCCTAACGGAACAGCCCCAAGACCAGAAGACACTTCCACTGCCTCAACTGCAGCCTTCTCAGAGCTCGAGACTGATTCCTTTTCCCCAGCTGGAATGGTCTCAGAACCCAAAGCCATCTTCACTGCTTCTTTTGAAGGATCCTGAGGGCCACAGCCCTGTTCATTGCTCCCTACTGGAACAGCCCCAAGACCAGATTCCACTTCCATTGTCTCAGCAGCAGTCTCTGCAGAGTTAGAGCTTGATTCCCTTTCTTCATCTGGAATAGCTTCAGAAACCAAAGATGTTTCCATTATTTCTACTGAAGGATCCTTTGAGCCAGATACTCGATCATTGTTCCCTACCGGTGGGAGTCCATGATCCAAAGTCATTTCAATTTCCTTTACTGTGGTTTCGTCAGGGCCAGTGGGCACTTCCTTTTTCTCTATCTGAGTAGCCTCAAGATACAGATCAGTTTTCACTGTATCTCCTACAGTGTCCAAGTCAGGAGCAGGTCCCATCACATTCACTACAGAGATCTGAGAACCTTTTTCTTCAACTACACTGGTGTCAGATGCTAACATGTTATCAGTTGAATCAGCTTTGTTTTCCTCCAATGCTTTGATGTCATTGAGCTGATCACTTTCCTTGGTTCTTATCACCTCAATGGCTTGATCTTTTTCTTCAGTCAACAGCTTCCCAATTGCAAAATCCCCTTTAGGTGACCTTTCCACGTCCTGGATAACAGCATTGGTTTTCTCAAATTCCTCCTTTTCAGGATCCTTAGGCCTTTCTGTGGGCACCAAGCCCTCTTTGCATCGATCGTTATCATTTGTATTGTTGATCGATTGGATTTCTCCATTAATGTGGTCCTCTTCTGCAGATTTTAAGGCTTCCTCAGAAGCAGGGGGTAGCTGGCTCACATCCACATTCTTCTCAGGAGCCTCACCTGGTGGCTCTTTGACAGGAGTGGCAGAAGGATTCCAGAAGACAATGCTGCTACTTATATTGTCAAAATCTTCACTCAGTTTCATTTCACGCTTCTTCAGAGGGATCTTAGCCTGCTGGTCATTCTTAATAGCCCTCTGGACATCCTCGGTTTTTTTCTTCACTTCTTCAGTTCCTGTTACCCTAACAGTACCATCAAAATTACCCGTAGTTATTGGTGATGATTTTTCGCTCACAATGTCACCCTTAACATGTACAGCCTCCTCCTTCGGTTCTTCCTTAATGACAGTATTGCCATTTTGAATTTCAGTAACCGTTGATGGAATTTCGTCCAATGTTCCTGAACCATCACTATTCTTGTTCTCTTCAGTTTCCATTGTGATGGATTTGTCACCTGCAATGTCCTTATCTTCTTTAGATGGCTTTTCCATGCCTTTGATTTTTGGACTAATAGAACATGCAGCATCCAGAGTGGGTTTGTCATCTTCATCCTCTGAGGAATCTTCTAGCTTCTCTTTCTTCGTCACATTCCCTGATATAGAAACAGCACCATTAATAATCACTGAGACCTCAGCAAAGTTCTAGCGCACACACAATTCTTCACTGCAAGAAAGATTTTAATATATGAGCAATTTAGCATCAGCTCTGTGTTAAATTTGAAACTGCAATGCCAAAACCACTACTGTACTAAAATACTCCTCAGCGCAAGTATACCATTTCCCTGCTCCTCCTTCCTTTCCTCATCCTCTGGGCTTGGACTGGTACTTGTAGACCCCTCTTCTACCTCTTTCTTGCTCAACAGTGCTGGGTCAATCTGAGTTTTCAGTAGCTCCACTGCCTGAGCCAGGTCATTTCGTGTCCTGTGGAAAAAAGGACAGACACATTAAAGAATATTATTCATGTGACGTTTTTATGCATTAACATTTTATCTAACTGGTATCTCAATCTATTTTGCGTTACACCTTATATTTTATTAGCATCCTTTGTAAGTAATTTTGTACCATGTCTCTGATGGAAAAAAAACTATTATATTTTAGCATGCAAGTATAATTACTGAATTTCCCACTTGTTATGGAGGCTCTTCAAATCCCCACCCTACCTGACAATACACTTCCAGGAGGATCCATCCAGGTCGTCCTGTTCCTCCACATAAACTCGCACATTGTGATCCTGGTCCAGCTGGAACCAGTACATAAGACCATCTTTATCTCGGCCGATTGGCTGCAGACGCATTTTATCTGGATCCTCCTCATTGATTGTCGTCTTGAATTTCACATTGTCATCAAATTGGCACTCACACAAATACTGTAGTTGAAAAGAGAAGGAAAACAAACAAAACTCAATATCCCCAAAGCATCCACTGTTGAATCGTGTGCTATTAAAAGGAATTTCTAATAATCTTGTTAATTTAGTGAGAGCTATGGGAAAGTAATCCTTCAGCAGTGTTAAGAATCTTACTTTGAGAATTCCAGCTTTGCATTCTACAGTCATCTCCAGGTATCCCTTCTTCTCTAGCTCCCAGGCCCAAGTGCTGTTGAACTCTTGGCAAATCTAGACAAAAATGGACACACCCTCCTCAGTCACTCATTCATCTACAGTAAGACTTAATACCGTTCCAAATGAATGTGTCATTGCAACCAAAATTGGATCAGACCCCTTTACAAAATCTAAAATTGACTAGAAGTAAAACCACTTTAAAAGAATGTGATATATATTTATACTGCTTTAAAACTGAAATCATGGTACATCGTCATCAGACAAAGGCCTCGGTGCAACCTAAAGCCATACTCACTTTTACCAGGTACTTCTCCCATCTTTCTGAAGACACTGATTTGCCAATTTTCCTCAAAAGCTTCACGTGAAGCTCCACCAAGGGTTTAGGAACTGAGGTAGACAGAAGAACAGACAGGCACTGTATGTTTTTATTGCATAAAATATTAGATCAGACTGGAAAAGCAGACTTGCTTTTGCATGGGTAAGTCCATTTCAACTTGCAATTCCATACACGGTAATAAAAATGATTAAAACAACCCAACACAGTCTGAAAGTCATTGTCATTTGCAGATACTGTCAACCCCTTTGCCTGTGCAATCCTCATCCTAGGTAGGTCGGATAAAGGAGGAGTTGTCAACATCAGTGGAGGCACCTGCTATCAGAAAACAGAATCATCGCACTTTGAGACTAGTACAATACTTGGTAGCTTTAAAAGAGTTTCTACAAGACCTTTATGTGGAATGTTACACTCAGCACAGGTTATTTGCTAATGAGCCTCATCTAGACCAAATCTAAACTTTAACTTAAAGAGATTTCTTTGAATTTTATTATTTCAAAGATCTGAGCAAACATTTTTTTTTTTACATTTGACAATGTTAAAAAATACGTTGTTAAAATTAGTTTGAAGCCATTTTACTAGGAAATTGTTTTATACCTGTTAATTTTCTAGGTAAGAGACTTCTTCGTAATGTGGACTAAATTTGTATAGTTACGTACAGAAAAAGTAAACCATGTGTGCAGATAAAACAGGTACATCTGCTTGCCAAAAACAGTGACAGCAGGTGAAACATTAAAACAGCGAGCACATGCATTTGGCGCCTTCCATGCACAGAAACGACAGTATTACAAAAGGTAACTTAAATTTTTACAGTAGCGGGGTTAAAGAATATTTAAGTATTTGAAAAGAAAAACGACAAGATAACGAAGTTCAGTTCAACATTTCAAATGATTAGTATTTAACCTTTTTAGAACGGTATAAATAAATCACGCAGGTCCATTACTACAACTCACAACATCCACCTTCAGTAACTGAAGTTCAGTTGGTAATTACCTATAAGCAATGCCAAGAATATTAAACATTTATAATTAACATAAGCTAAATGAATAAATGTGTGAATTGCTAACTCAACATGTTCCGCTTTCTGATAAACGAATACACGATATACTCCAGTTCTGATTCATTCCCCATCTAAAGACAACCCAAAATCTCCAAAGCATTAACCACTGTTGGAATTTCATGTTTAATTTATGTATTATGTAAACAGCACATCTGGGTAGTGATTTATGCGATGCCGTTATTGGAAAATTGTACTCGCTCCCAGAAGTGAAATTGTGTTTACTGTAATAGTAAAAAGAGCGAAACAAAAGATTTAGTGGATGATACTGTACACAAACAACAAAAACACGTATTTTATATTCTAGAGTTTTAATATAAAATGTACACATTCCACATAAAAAAAAAACTATATTTATACAAAAATACTTTGAATGAACAATCTCCAGAGCTCAAAAACAGCTACTACATTCGGCAGGAAGTTTATCCATTGTGCGCATGCGCAGTATTGTTACAACCAAACTATGCCAAAAAATTACAATGTAACTGTAAATATCGCTAGCGCATTTTAGGCTTTCAAAACGTACATGCATGCTTCTACAAATCAAAACTATGTCCATTACTATTAACTGGAAAGAGAACTCGAGCTGCCGCTGCAGTTATTTAACTTGCAAGTAGTTTAGCCCCCTTTTCTGCGCACGATAAGGAACAATTTGAGCCATAAAGAATCAACCGAGGCTGGAAAATACATCTTGACATAGCCTACTCCAATCACAAATTTCAAAAACCCAAAACCTTTCGCCACCAAAAATACGTGTTAAAAAACAAACGATACTTTGGGTTGCTTCGTGTTTTGAAACAGCCACAACAGCAGTAAACACTGAAAAGGGGGACGTTAAATACCCAATTACCACACAATAACAGCAAACGTCTGCACGACCAGCAACACATACAAGCAATGGAGGTGGACACCCGTTCTAGGTCCCAAGCTTCTACTATTCAAACCTTTTACCTGTTGAGGTCTCTTGCAGATATCGTTCCAGCTGCGAAAACGTAAGTTCGGGAAGATCCAGAAGAGCTCCGTACCGCTCCAAAAAGGAACAGACAACGGCGAAGCTCGGGCACGAATCGGGACAAGAACCCGCCGCCGCCGAAGCAGCCATTTTTCCAACGGGGAGACTAGCAGCCCGTGAGCTCGGAGGACCAATGGCTGCCCACAATTCACCGCGTCAACGAGAGCGGTGGCCTATAGGCCTTTGCTGTAAAAGTTAAATCACTAATGTAAACAAACGAATATGCCCGAAGAATGATTACTCAGTAGTATTTTCACTGATGAAGGACGCTCGTGGAACTTCCATTCATAAAAAGGCATGGGGAATCGCTCAAGATGGATATACGCAATAGGCAGCCATAATTAAATTTAAATCCGAGCAAGCAGGTAGGTTAACAGAATGAAAATGTTGATTTTTTTAAACTGCTCGATTATTTTATTGTAGCTGACTATTAAATGAATGATACACGATGATAACTGTATGAAAACGTACATATTGTTTTCTTGTGGAGTATTTGCGTTGATCAAAGCTTCTTTAAAACTGGTCTAGAAGCAGTTATATTAAGATTTGTATCGAAGTACACTTCGGACATCGTTTGGAAGGCGGGTTCACGCCGTATCGGGTCTCAAGGGTGAACCGAGTCGCAGTCATGCTCTTGGCTTTAGAGGGAGCGGCGTTTCTACCATGTGCCGCACAGCAGCTTCGAAGTGGCAGCGTGTAGGATGGGAGAAAGACGTTAAACTGCCACAGGACGCATCTGCAGCGAGAATATGTAACAGAAAACCATAAGTTATGTAGCGTTATCTTTGATATCAGTGACGGGGTTGTGCGGGAATGGTCGCTGCGACACGAAGCAAACGCTTAGTTTTAATCATTTACTTTTTGATCACTCGTGTGGCTTTTGTTGGATAACATTTCACACAGGGAAAAAGATGGAAAGCCACAAAATTTTCCGAAGCAGACATTTATCGATTAATAATCGCAGAGAGACCGTACTGTATTACAGACCATACTCAGTTAAAGATGCAATTTATTAGTCAAGTAGGTCTTCAATGTCATTTTAACCAATACACAGTTGAGTACAATACACAGTTAAAAACGAAACTGTTTCTCTCGGACTAAGGTGCTACACAGACACACGACTGACGCGTAACAGCCTACCAACGTAGCGTGCAAAGTGGTCAAGTTTCACAGCACAGCTCAGGCCAGTTTAACAATTAATCCCAAACAATGTTAAATAGCATGCATCAAGAAGCACAACAAACAATGAGAGAGTAAATTGACTGACATTACATGTTTAGTAAACATATGCCTTTAACTCTACCAGAAGTGTGTTTTTAAAGATTTGTCTGTACAAGTTACATGCATTTACTGTACACAATTCATGAAATAGTGTAAAATCTCGATTAAATATATAATAAAAAAACTGAAATGTTTGATCCGCAGATCTGTTTTCTTTGATATCCATTACCAGGAAGCAGAGAATACCTGGGGGGTGGGGGTACTCAGTAAAAACACTTGGAAGGTTGCTGATACATGAAGCTGCAGCCCAGGTGGGTGTAAATATCAGCTTCAAACAAATACCTCCATGCAATCATGGGATGAGGTCACACTGTCCTGAGGTCAGTGTCCAGAGATATAGAATGTGCTCTTGGACCTCAAGCAGGAGGTGTCCTGCTCAGATTCATCATCATCATCATCTCACAATTTAAGAGAGTAGCCCAAGGGGTAGACAAAATGTCATCAGTGTTTTAAGTTAGAATCACAATTCACAATATAGATGGTTTTTGTTGTTTACAAATCAGCCAAACTGAAATGTTGTAATGTGGAAATTAACCATTTAATTTTAACCACTTAACCAGCAATTCTGTCCTTACAAGAACACTGCTTGTAACATAATGATACACTTAAGGTATGTAAAATACTGTGCATATGAAAGAAACTGAGTCATTATATCAAAAGTGATTTTTAATACTAAAGTTTCAAACGTTCCAGGACAAATTAATATGTATCATTTTGCTCAATAGCAGTCATGAACTCAGTTTACAACACATACAAATAAATAAGATAAAATTGGTTGCTTTGCAAAGTTTGCAAATTACAGCAGATTGGTCCATGTCAGATTTAAATTCCAAACCATTTCCACACAAACAGGAGCTTTTCTGTAACAAATTCTTCATCAGCCATGCTGCACACTTTGTTTGATAGTATAGTCAACCCATCTATGGCCCATGTGTTTTTAACCAAGTTAGCAAACTGGTTAGAAGAGAAATTAGATATATATATATAAAAATAATGCACTTGTAACTGGCCATTCATGGGTTTGCTTGACTTGTACGTTACTTTGGACAAGTATCTGCGAAATGTGCCATATTGTGATTCTTGCAATAACTCTGAAATAATTATCATGGATACAATTGCAACTGATCATGCTAATTTATCGTCCTATTACCTCCCACTAACTGGCACCTCAATATCGTGTACCACAGTTCTGCAAAAGCTTTCTTTGTAGAGTCATATCAAAGTTTCAGCAAGTTTCTTCCGTTACAATGTCTTGCATGATAAACCATGGTTACAGCCGCCCTATTTTACACCAGAAACATAGACATTTACCCCCATTTCAATAAGATTTTTGTACTCTGAACCAAAGTACTTGATCAGAAAATGCCTGCTATCTGCAACCCTTACGCTATAGCTATCCATGTAATTTTATGTTTTTAAAGCGATTAAATCAGCACACAGAAAGAACTCAGCGCTTAAGTGAAGTCCAGCGCCTTTTGATTGTAATAGTTTACAAATCCTGTCAGCAGAAAAACTGTCAGCAACTGACAATCCAAATTCCATTGGCTCCAAGATTCCATTGGCTCTGCACTCCTGACTTAGCACAACACAGGTGCTTCTCAGATTTCAAGTTCCTCAATCCCCCTTGATTTCATGTGTCTTTAAATCCACCTCGAATGGCTTAGGATATTTTGCATCTAGCCTCAAAGTAGTTGCTTGCAGATGCCAAAAAGTCTTTGGATTTTTCATCCTCTAGCCATTTACGGACAAAGAATTTTTGTTATTGTGTGAGAAGAGTGCATAAGTTCAATTACATTCAGTAGCACCCTCCACAAACTTCTCATTAAAATTTGAATGTTCCCCATTTTTGCTTGCCTGCTTTTCACCTCTGCAACAATAAGCAGATTAATAACAGAGGGCCAGGGCGGAACACATAAAAATGCGAATCCACAGGAAAATGAATAAATTATATATAGTTATATAAATATGATCATTCAATCCGTCTTAGTAAAATAATATGTAATAGAAAAATATATAAAATATATTTCAATATTAAGATTAAGAATTTAATAATCTGTAGGAATCCTTTAAAGAATCATTTTATTGCTGGGTCAAGTGTAGTATTGTGGGTGGTCCTTACCCTTAGTGGCCACAAGGGGAACCTTAGTAATCACAGAGACCTCTGATTTGGACCCCCATTTGGTAAGAAATTGGAGGGGGGTGGGGGGGCAGCATAATGTCTCTTCCTCGGGTTCCACAATGTGGGAGGGGTTTCTTGTGCCAGTCTTGCTTCTGGGGTCCAAATGCAGCACAATGGCCTTGATTCTCAGGACACCTGTGCACAAGGAAATGACACTTAACATCTCCAGGAGAACACGCCGGAGAACCATAAATGAGAAATGCTGTTTCAAGCATGAGCACCATTTAGGTACATATTCATGCAAAGCCCCTTCTCAGACAAATGCCTCAAGATCATCAGGTGATGAGGTCACATCGCCGTGGGGTAGAGTCACAGAACGTGGCCCTAGGCCTGGACAGGATGTGGCCTGGTCTGACTCGTCATCATATCATCATTGAAGGGACTACAAGTATACCAGCACAATTCAAAACTTAGCACATTTAGTTCTAATGCTGCTGGCAACAGAAAACCTCAGCTGCGCTTTGAACTGGCTTTAAAAAAACCTGGAATTGAGACAAAACTTCACCATGTCTGTTTCAGAAGCAGTGCTTTTGTGTTCTGTATTAAAGCCTTCAGTAAACTATGCAGCTGTATAACTTGCTTATTAGTGTAAAAAATACAAACAATGATTAGACAGCCACAAAAATTGGTTACATAACCAGGGAAGTTCAAGGCCTAAATTACCAAAGGCTCACCTGCACACATACAGCCCTCTTGGCAACTTGAAGCACAGTGACTGCCTGGGCAATGGCAGAGCCCCCTGGTGGCCACATTGTATCTAGCGGATGAGAAAGTAACATGTTCGTGAACAGGAAGGGATGCATTTATATTTTACATTTATTCATGTTGCTGATAATATAGTGCATAATAATGTAGGTGGATATTGTGGAAAATTAAAATACAATAATATAGCAAAATTTCTTCTGTCTAATTGTCCACAAGGAACTGTAGCCATCGAATTGTTGTAGCCATCTGTAAGACAAATCCTCAAATTCACAAACACCAGACAGACAAGACAAATCAAAGAGGACTTTCCTGGGACAGTCATCATTATCATCATCATCATCATTATCATCAAACAGGCTCTTGTACTGCCCTAAATCTTAATGGCGCCCTCTGCAAAACCAGACCTCTTCTGGATCATGGCTGTCCATGATGTAATTAAGTCCACCAGATCCCAGACTCGCTATGTACCAAGCAGCTCTCTTGGACAAATGCCTCATCAATATCAGGTAATAAGGACACCATAACTGGAAGTGTGAAATCAGAGCGACAGAACATCTCCTGGGCCAGGAACCCAAAGGCAAAGTGCCCTGGTCTGACTCGGCACTGTATCATTGAAGTGAGTACAGGTGTCAGTAATCTTGTCTGTGCACAAACAAAGCAGAGGAAATGTGCCTTGCAGTCTTCCTCTGGCTGCTGCTTCAACTCCAATCCCAGATTTACCAGTTGCTATGAAGATGATTTCAGGCCTGTTTGAGGTGATCCAAAACTCTGCTCCTGTGTCCAGTGCACAGCTTTGAATATACCATCCGAATCCAAACTACAAATAAAAAGCAGTCAAGCTTTCTCAACAATTAAAAACAAAAATTTATAAAATACAGTAAGACCTCAGACATTCGCAAGGTTACGTTCCAGAACCTGTCACAAATGAGGAGGATTCGCAGATGTTTTGTAGAGTCACTAAAAATGGTAATATGTGCTTATTTCTATAGTTTAAACCCTACATACAGTATGCTCCCAAAACACTTTAATTTCATTTAAAAGTTAGCTTAATACATTACCTTTAAAAAAAACAAATGTTTGATGTAAAAATAGAGTACAGCATCGCCTAACGGATATTTGTCACACTAGCACATTTACAGTACAGTATACTAATGTTACTCCTACTAATTCATAGAACACGCCATTGGCTGCCGTTTTCTTTTGCATTCACAGTAAGGTTAGTAAACTAAATTACTAAATTAGTAAACGAACAGGGCTGTAAACTTCATTACAATTAAAAATTACGTAATGACGTATAGAAATAAGTTGTAAAAATACTGTCTGCGCTAACCACGAGAGAGAGCGAGAACAAAAATATACAAATATTAAAAATATTTAATAAAGAAATAGTAGTATGGGTACTCACCAATGATGAATTTGATTTAAAATAATTATGAATGAGCTGTGCAGTACAGTGAAAATATGAAAATGACTGCATAGCGTACATGAGGAGTTACAGATTCTCAGAGTCTGGAGCGTTTGGGTTTCGACTCAAAGAACCAAGTTATTTTGCTCTGCTGATACTGTTTTTTCATAGTGGTGTAGATGGCTCTGTATGTCTCCATGGCTGAATTTAATCCATTTACAGTTTTCAGAGCACGTTCAAAAAAGGGATCCCACTTTTCTATGCAGGATTGCAACTACTGTTGAGTCCTCATGATTACTCCAAGACGTTCCAATGAATGACCCTCGTCCTCCTCTCATTTCTTCAGCCATTTCCTCTTCCTCTTCACTTGCTGACTTAGTCAGCTCAAGCATGTCATCATCTGTCAGGGGGACAGAATGGGCATCGATGACTTTGACGACTACTTCGGTGCAATCCTCAAGTCTTTCACCCCCAAGCAATCTTGCCAGTATCAGTCTTCCTGACAGCCTCATTATGAATCTCATCCGGTAAGAAGCCCTTATAGTCATGGATTATGTCTGGCCACAGTTTTTTCCAGCATGCATTGAGAGTTTCCTTCTGAATTTCTTTGAGAGCAGACTAAATTACAGTAAGGCACATCACTATGGTGAATTTCTTCCGGTATTCTTTTAAGGTGAAGTTCTCCATTATGTCCATTGCATTGACCAAGTGTTGCATAGAGTTACATATGTAGAGGGCCTTAAAGGCATGGATCACACCTGGTCCATAGGTTGTATGAGGGAGGTGATGTTGGAAGGGAGGAATTCAATCTGCACACTATCATACAACAGATCTAGGGGGTGCCCTCCAGCATTGTCCATGATTAGCAACACCTTAAATTCAAGGCCTAAGATGAGAAGGTATTTCTCCACTTCAGGGATGAAACACCGGTGGAACCAGTTGGATGCTATGACCTTGGTTATCCAGGCCTTGGGGTTATGCATCCATATATAAATAAGTAAGAAGAGGGAAAAAAGCACTGAAAATAGTTATCACACTTGTATCACACTTGTTGAACTGAGATGTGGGAAGATGAACCGCGATTTCACGCATGTAGTACAGTACACAAAGGATCCGAGCTACTGTACCAGCAAATCAGCAGGTTGGAAACCTGGTAACTATGCTCTGTGATTGGCTACTTCTAACCCTTTCAGTGTTTAGAGGGAAACCCGGGAGGCATTTACTACATTGTACGTAAACATTAGCACCTTTCAAGAAATTTATAATTTTTGTGCGTTGAATTTACGTTAACGTCTACTTACTATTACAAAATAGTAAATTTACTATTTTCTAATATTTATGTAACCATCCGCGTTCTTGTCACCTATTGCCGGGGCACGGACCGGGGAAGAAGGGACAGGACGCAAGGAATCGGGGAACACGGGGTTTAGTCAAAAAGGTAAAGACAAGCAGGACAACGGAACAGACAGCAAGCTCAAAACGACGTTAAATGACCGGACTCGGGAAACATACTTAAACGCAGACTTAAATACACAGGACTAATGAAAGCAACTCGAAACAGCTGATCACACGGAGATTCCATACGAGGTAGATGAGGGGGCGTGGCACACGGGAGAATCGAACGAGCAGATCGTGGCAGTTCCAAAGGGAATTAACTTTGCGAATGGGATTCGCATCTTGTAAAGGTACAGTACAGTATGCACATAAAAAAGAACGTTTCCATAAGAAAGTCACGTTTAACTAAATTTCTTACCAATTTTACACTTAAAAGCATGAAAACTTATAAATTACTACGAAAATTAAACAAACACTTCCGTTCGAGAATTTCGCAGATGTGCGAAAAATGGCAGATGCAAATAAGTTCGGTTCCAATTAAATTTTCGCGGATCCATGAATTCGTGAAACACGAGGGCTTACTGTACCGCCGTCTAAAATCTTGCTTTTGATGTGCTACAATAATTCAAGACTTAAACAAGTTTGTAATTCCATCACAATTCAACGCCCAGGGCAATATATTCTCAATATCAGTCGCTGACCGCAGACGCTATTCGAGTTTTACTTTATAACTTCACATTAACTATCATTCATCCATCGCATAATAATGTATGCGAATAAAACCCTCCCGAGATATTTATGCACCCTTTCTCGCGGCAGACAAGTGGAATTTGGCGTAAAAAATGCTTAAATTGACAGTTTGATACATTTAAAGTGACCAACCTTCTTCTTCTTGGAAACCACAACCCAAGCCGGACGCCAGAAAGTAAAGAACGGCTTACCGCTTCTTCTTTTTGTGGAGTTTGTCGGAATTCTATTTTTTATAGGAAGAAGCATAGTGCCATCTAGGGAACTGGAGTGCGAAGTGTTCAGAAGTTGGACCTACAGGCGACGCTTTGAAATCCACCCATTTGTCTATCCACCATGGCCGGTCAGTACTACAAGGTTGCCCACTCTCACGCATCTGGCGTGACACTCACGCAAGTAATCATGTCTTCTAATCTATATCATTCCATTATAAACCTAAAATTAGCTACATCAGAAGCGTTGTTGTTTGCAAACCCTACACACTATTTACAAGGTAATAAAACTGTTACATACATGTAAATGAGTGTGTGGACTTGTCTGGAATTGACAATTTCACGCCAGCCAGCTGACCAAAATTGGCAAAACTGATGTTATAAGCGACATAAGTTCGATTAATTCAATTTTACTTTGTCTCGGACGCAGTGGCACCTACAGAAAATTTCGATTGGGTGGCCAGGGGTAAAAACTACGGAGCCGGGGACTGTCGACCAGGGGGGAAAGGTGGCGGCAGATCAATCCCGCCAGATTTGTTGACGTGGGGTGGCAACAGGGGTGGCCGGCCTTATAAGTACTCGCGCCCTCTGCAGGGCCCGCACAGAACAGCTATGCGACATGTGGGGGGTGTCTGTTTGGTTAGCACGATATAACAAAAAAAAAACGTTACTGAAGTGATGACAACAAGAAGAGAAATAATATAAAGACGAAAAAGGTCAGATTATTAATAGGGTTGTCAAACGATCACATTTTAATCGCGATGAATCCCACACCCTGTACAAGCAGGTTGCAATATCATAAAAAAGTTTTATTCAATATATTCAGTATAGAAAATAAATTCTTAATACTATTCTGCCATTGGCATATAAAAATCAACACAACTAAAGTTAGCGAGATCGAATAAATAATTTATTATGATTTAAACCCCCTCATTTAAGATATAATATAATTTTAAATTTATATAATACTGTCACTCTTTATTGGGGGTGAAGCTCGCTTAGGTGGGCTTGAAGGGGGCCTTTATCCTGTCAGGGAGGCTACCCTATGCCCTAGTTAGCATAAGGCACAAGGCTGGAGTACACCCTGAACAGATCGCCAATCCATAGCAGGGTATCACGTGCGAGATAAATAAAGTCTACACTTAGGGGGCGTTCTAGAAATTGCAAAGAATCTAGACGTAGTGGAAGCAACCCACTGTCATAGTTACTGTTTCTATTAAGCTGTACAACCACCATAACGTAATAGAATAAGACTTGAAAAAGAACTGGAATAACCATTCTCATTATTATGTATCTCTATGTTTCAGTGAGTACCCCTGCTTTGTGCTGTGTGCAGCCTGGGATAAACTGCATGCTCCCTCACATAACCCAGCAAAAGTGGTTAGATAAGAATGGATGTATACTGGAGTGTATTGCAAAATATGCTCACTAGATGGAAGCAGACACCATGATAATGATTTCATTTTTTGACTTCATTTGATAATGATACTTTACTGATCCTTGTGTGGAAATGATCTTTTCGCCTACCCTTCTCCATGACACAGAGACACATATGTAGGAGAGAGCAAGCTGGATAGTGAAGAGCAGCCACCTGCAGCGGTGCCCATGGAGTTGGGGGGTGAGGGCACCGGGCCACCCATTTTTCTATTGGCCCTGGAGCAGATTTCCAGATTAAGAGCCTTGTTCTCAGGATGCCCTGAGATGGGTGACCTCACGGAGAGAGGCTAACACCCCTAAACTGGGCAGCGTGTGGCTCAGTGGGCTAAGCCTGTGTGCCTATAATCAGAAGGTTACTGGTTCAAACCCAGCCTCAGCACATCTGCAGGTCCTTGAGCAAGGCCCTTAACCCCCAGCTGTCTGGGTGTCCTAACAGGTGGCTGCCCTTTACAGACAGCTTACTACACAAAGAGGAAGTTGAATGAGGTGTAAAGACAGTTTCCTCACATGGATCAATGATTAATATTAGTACACCACAGTGATATGCCATGATCAAAGCATACAAAACAAATCTTTTTTTTCCTTGTAATTGACAGCTTATACTTAAATGTAAGTCACTGTTGTCTAAGTTGCTAAGTAACCTGAGTTACTGCATTACTCTGAGCAGGATGAGCAGTCCAGAGATGGATGGCTGGAGTAATTTCAGATTTTCAGTTTTTCTCCTAACTGATCTTGTTAGGATTAATCAAATAACATTGAAATTGTGATTAGATCAAGTCTGCAGCTTTGTGAAACTGTTGATATTTACCACCACATGAGCTGCTAGCTATTTAGGGCCCCATGAAAGCATATCATATTGGGCCCCCAACCCAGACTGATCCAATTATAATTCTAATTTTTTGGGGCCCCAGTCACTCAGGGGCCCTTGGAATCATCCTAATGTTCCCCCCTTTGTGCCTCCCACTGATTGCCCAAATGGACGAGAAAAAAGCTCTCTGGGACTGTGGCTGTTCTCTGGGATGGTGGCCAGCCTTGGCAGTACTGCTCCGGCAGCATCCAGAAGACTGGGTGGCAAAGAAGTGTATGAGGCATTAGCATTGGAGGCTAACGGCTAACACAGTCAGCACCACAGTCATGACTTTTGATTCACCTGGTTGGTCGCCAGTGCACTCTGGCATAGGACCTATTCCATGGGGAAGCAGCACATCACTACAGCCGCAAAGGACACTGCAAAACCCCAAAGAGGTCATTTTCATGCCATTGGGAAAGGACGGGACTGCCCAGTTCAACTTGGGAAGTCATGGCACATTGTCCAACCTCACTGGGTCCCTGGGCTGACAATAAGAAACATTAGGCAATACATAGTATAAGCACAACTACCCACACAAACCAGTCCACCCTCCTGCACCACCATATCTTCCAGGTAGCCAGAGTCTGGCAGACCACTGGGCAGCTGTGGGTGCTGATGATGGTGTGGTGGAATATGGTGTACAAGCTGAGGTGGAAAGTTCAGGTCCAGAAAGTATAAATCCAGACCAAGATTTTGTTTCCAGTTGAATATAAAGAGTCACAGTCACACAGTGCACAACTAGTTGGTTGAAATAAAATGTTGGTTTAGATTTGAACTTTCTGGAACAGGGGTTTGCGAACCTTATTCACGGAGAGCTGGTGTGGGTGCGGGTTATTGGGATGACCTCTCCATCAGCTAATCACAAAGCAGTGTTTCTCAACTCCAGTTCTGGGGACCCACTGTTATAGGCTGATTGAGAGGTCATCCCAAAGACCTGCACCGACCAGCTTACAGGCATTGGCGATGAAAGGTCATAGTGGTTGTGGTAGTAGGTGAGCAGGGAGATCTAATACAGGAGCTGTTAGGTTGAGCAAGTACACAGCACTGCAACCCAGCATCACCCCCTGACCTGCAAATGTGCAGGATAAGCAGTAACTGTGAGTGGCAGAGTGACTTGTGTAGAGCGTGTAGTACAGTGTTTCCCAATCCAGTCCACGTTTTTGCTCCCTCCCAACTACCAGTAGGGAGGGAGCAAAAATGTGGACTGTCTGTGAGACTCCAAGGACCCGGTTTGAAAACATTTGTGTTGTAGACAGTGTGGAGGAGGGACACCTTGATGTACTCAGCGTGAGTGCCAGCAGAGACCCAGCCACACCACATCCTCCATGAAGGACTCGCTGTATCTCCTGCTGTTACCAGCCTCAAGGAAACACATTGACAGTCATCATCCAGCTGTCCTCCTAAGGCCCATACAGGATGGAATGAAGCATTTTCATGATAATCTACAGATTGTGGCCAGTTTTCTTGGTACACCTACTTGCTAATGAGAACTGCCTGCTCTTCCAACTAGTGAATAATAGTTCTGCATGTGGAATACATAAAGCATTGGGCATTGGGAAAAGGTTCATTTCTGTTGGACGTGAAGTTAATGATGTGAAATTCATGCCATCGAAGCAGGCAACCAAAACATTATCAGGGGCAGCCATTTGTATTATAGCAAAATAAGCAAATGTACAAAAATGCTTTTATTGAGTTAAAACTAATCTCCTCTTAAATACCTGCCTTTTTCCATACAGGCAACCAAACATATTATCCTGGGATGTCCATTTGCAATTTCACACAACAGAGCAAATGCACAAAATTACTTTTATTTAGTCAATGCCGTAAAACAAAAAAAATTTGATTCATTCAACATTGAATAGGCACAATATTTTTTTTCCTGCCCAATTTTCATTATTTATTTTCCTTTAAGTATGTGCAGTTTATATTATGTATCCATTTCCAGCCACCACTTGTATTCCGGAGTGTGAGGTGTCTGGAGCCTATGGGCACAAGGCAGGGAACAACCCCGGATGGGGGGCCAACCCATCACAGGACACACTCACACACCATCCACACCTAGGGGCAATTTGGTAACTCCAATTAACCTCAGCATGTTGTTTTTTGACTGGGGGGGGGGGGGGGGGACCAGAGTACCAGGAGAAAGTTCCATAACAACACGGGGAGAACATGCAAACTCCACACACATGGAGCCCTGGTGGGGGCTCAAACCTTGGTCCCAGAGGTGTGAGGGAACAGTGCTAACCAATGCACCACCCTGGTGCACCCTAATTCATACTATGTAAAAGAAATTCTGATCTTTCAGAACTGTGGGTCACCTTCCGGTCACCCACACAGACCTTCTGGAAGCTGCTGTGGTCATGTTTTAAAATTACAGTCCTGCTTTTTACAACCAACACATAAACATGGGAAGGAAGTAAAATACTTTCAAATTGCTTTTTATAGTCTGTCCTGTTGTTTTCAAAGGGAATATTTTAATGTAAATTTTTCCCAGACTCTTTGTGTATTTATTCCAGATAGTAATTTGTCTGTACCCAAGTTTATTAACAGCAGCCTTGGTGAGTAGTAAGAGATTGTTTAACAAACCACGACGGCTAACCAAACTATCATTTTGCATTTAAAAAAAACCCTCTACAGTAAAAAAGATGGCTGACCATTCTATATTTATCACACCTACATGCACATTCTTCTACTAAAAGAAAACTGGATCTGGCAGTGCTGTCCAGAAGGAACGAGCTGACATGGTGTGCAACTGGACAAGACTACATTCAAATTACCCCCAAATAATATAAAGTTTTAGAAGTGTAATTTTCTACGAATCTGAAATAACTCATTTGGTTCATTAGTCCAGGTTTCATTGCTCTGTGCATGTTCTTCCTTTTTGTAGCAGTTCACATCAGGGCTGGTCCTAACCAATGTGGTGCTCCCTGTATGAGGCAAAGTGAAATTGGCTGGCAAGTTGGCACCCCTTCAGAAGTTGCCACCCTAGGCGGCTGCCTATGTCGCTTATAGGATTGACCTTCCTTGGTTCACATTGACCCTTAGTCGTAAACTTGACAAACGTCATTTTGCACTTAGCAGTCTCTGAAGTATCCATGGAAACCAGATGATACGTGTTCCTCAAAAGTAACTTCAGGAATGGCTTTGTGGGTTAGCAACTCTTCTCCCATTTCCACATTCCCATCTCTTGTGTCCTCGCCAATACAGTTGACAGAGGTGGAAAGTTGAGGTCCAGAAAGTAGAAATAGACCAAGATTTTGTTCCAACCAAACAGTTGAGTACTCTGTGACAGACTTTAGATTCAACTAGTTGGTAGAAACCAAATCATGGTCTGGAATCTTACTTTCTGGAACTGAACATTCCAACTCTGATGGTTGACTAGCTCTTCAGCTTCCCAGCATTCTTAACCATAGTGGATGTAACAAAGCGTAATTCATCTCACAGCATTATGCAGCCTGCCCTTTTCCCTCGACCCTTATTGCAGAACCAGGACTTGACTGGCATCCTTTTGTTGGCAGTTCAGCATCCCGGCCGCCAGCTACCATGTGTCTGTCCTGCAGACCTGGGAGGTACCAGTGTGCCAAAGGTAGCCACCAGTGCAATACAGTATCATTCACACTACAAGCAGAAAACCAACTTGTCTGACAAACATACACAGCAACCACCATGACTTTTGTACAGTATACAAAACCCATATTTAAGAAATAACTGTCCAGTCAAATGAAAGGGGCCATGAGGTTAATGCAAGAACAGTTAAATGGGGGAAAAAAAAAACGGTGAGTCAAACAAAATGTAGTTTTTGTTTCAATTACATTATATATTTTTAAATTTTTAGATATAAATTCAATGTAGTACCATTATTAACCATCAGCGATTGACAAACAAAAAAGTTTTTTGGGAAAGACTTTAATAGTTATTGAATGTTCTACATCTTACAGTAAATATACAATTAGAAACTTGGCTTAATTCTGACACCAAGATCAGAGACTGATCTTCAAGAACAAAAAAAAAAAAACCCAAAACAAAACTTAAAATAAAAAAAACGATAACAGATTTACACTTCATATTCACAAGGGTCTCTCCTTTCACAAGCCTTTCAACACACCGCAAAAAAAAAAAAAAAAAAGGTTTTCCTTGCAACGGTCCTGTTGCAGAACCAGTTCAAGGTTTGCTGCATATGCAAGCCGGGGAACACTGGAACCTCAAAGGCGAGGAGCTCACCTCAAAAAGCATGTACTATACTCCTAAATCATGCTTTGGAAAATGTGTTTGGAAGACACAGAACTTTTGCCTCAAAAGTAGTGTTTAAACAATAGAAAATGTGGTAAAAATAAATTTCAAGTTGCAATTAATGGATAAAATCTTAACATGACTGCCTATATTATGGAAGCAGTTAAAACTCTAGTGCTTCTTATTTGGGGGAATGGTGGAATCTGTAGGACCAATCCTCTATGGATTAACCTCAAACAAACATATCTTCAAAATATCAAAAAGTGTTTCTGCAAAATGCTTGTTAATATACCAGTGTGGGCCAAAGACGGTCAGCATTAGTGCCGGGTACCTTACCACACACAAGTGCAACATCTGACTTCAGGTGAAAACCAAGAAACGTGTCTGACACCCCTAATTTCTTTGTGCCAATTTTTGGACATGAAGTGCTACTGAGGTAACAGCCCCCTGAAGAGATGAACCTGTAGGTGGACATTAAGAGGACAGATTCCCTCTCAGCATTATAGGTTGTGTCTGTTGATGGAACCAAATTAAAAAGGGAGCGTGTTAGATAACACTATTCACTGCGTAGCGCTCCCAGCTACCCATCAGATAAAGATGTTTATTTAGCTATTACCTCAACACCACATGCAGTTGGGTTCTGAAAGTCACTTCATTGAGCAGACGAGGAAATGGAATTTAGCTAATTCTGCAAGATGTGTGGGGTGAGGGGCAAAACCTAAAAACCGCTGTCCTCCCCTCAGCAAAGTCACGTTAATACAACCTAATTCAAAAGGCGCTTGTGAAAAAAACCTTAATTCCCCCTTTCCCCAGAGACTTTTCAAAATAAACAGAACCATTAAGCCATTAAGGTTCCATTCAATAAAATAATTATAATAATAGAACTTAAATAACACTTATGGTAAAATGACATTAAATTATGTATAATGAAGTTGGTAGCTAACAAGACTCATGCAATCATCTTTACTACCTGCTTCCATACTGGGGCATTTATGCTAATCCTTATAATGTCCTTGTAAGGGAGAGGAAAAAAAAAAATCAGCGATAGCCTTGACTGAACGTATTTTTGGTTGGTTGTTTCAGAATCCGTCGGGAATGGCTACATTCTTTTTGATCTGTGGAAAAATGCTGGATGGGAGACATTTGCACAGTTTAGACAGACACATCCCAGAGACTTGCTAATATTCCAATGGTCATACTGTCATTATTTGCCTCATCCAGTCAGAAATTAGAGGCTTTTTTTTAATTACAAAGTAAGATAATTGTGCTTATGTCCCATGTGAAATTGGAAAGGAAATTGTTCTTAAAATGTTGAAAGAGTGAAATGTAGTATTAAGTTGCTGATGAAGATGAATGAGATTGCTTGAAGTGTGTTCCTGTCTACAAGAAGCAGCTATTTCAAAATGCTACGCTAAGAGATACGGTCACAAATACAGCTTTTTCACAAATCAGGATCTTGGTGCAAAAAACGGTAACACATTTGACAGGAAGGCTGACGTCACCGGGTACGATTCGTGGGCATGCTCAGTTCAAATCTGGAATGTTTGTACAGAGACAGCTCATCCGAACAGGCATCTTTTCCTAGCCCTCAAGCCTTCTGAGGTGTTACGATGTTAAACGGGGAGTTATAATTAGGTTTCAGTGCGAGGGCTCGCAGTGCCGGCTTCGATAGCAGAGTCAGGGCCCATGTCGTTAAGGGACTAATTCAGGACCAGCACTTCCCACGACGACGATACATTGCACTATCAGGACACACGGCAAAGCGAAATGAAAAATACAGAAAATGGACCAGCGACCTTATCTGCGGTTATTTTTAAAACAAGGTAGAGCACACTGCAGACAGCAGGAATCAAACTGACGACCCTTTAGCCAAGATGCAGACGAGTTGCCTCAGCCATATCAACTAAGGAAGCAACAAAGTGGGGGGAGGGGAGATAGCGGGTAGGGGGGGGACACACACACAACAATTTCCCTTACACATCAGTCCCAGGGAGCCGAGGGAGGAGGCGCTTCAAACCCCAGTCATGCTAACCTGTTCCACTAAAAATCGAATGGTGTTTTGTCAAGATGCATGATTACATGACTTTGACAGAGTACTCGCATAAGTTATGTATATTTGGGTATATTCACGTATATTAGATGCTTAAACTCTGCCATTAACCGAAGGGTACCATACTGCGGAGTTGTATAACCAATAAGGAGCAGATTATGTTCTTGTACCTGTTCATAACATACATTACTTCTTAAATATTTCAGTGCAAAGCTCCAGGATCTTCACTGATATGTAGCGACACTGTCTGTACACTATCTGTTCTCTGGGGGAGGGAGTGAGGTCCATCCTAGGTGATGATCATAACTGCCTCGCCACACTCCCAGCACATACCCTGCCCCTTCATCCCACCCCACCTCACCAACCAGTACACTCAGAGAGGGCACTCCAATGCCGTAAATTGGACGGCACGCCACACCATGCCTTCACAACCTGGGGCCCGCCTATTGCTGTCACCTGGACTCAAGTGCCACCTCTGAATCCCTGTCCCCCTCAAGCACCCCCATGAAAGGACCTCATTCCAGAAATCCAGAAGCCAAGATCATTGGGGGCAAATTAGAATGAGATTATTCATAGCCCTACTTAGTTATATTTTTTAACTGTCCATCCAATGAATTTTATTCATAAAAACCCCTTTAATTCCTTGTCATGTTAAATTTATAGTATTTATACATACACAGTATAGATTAAGTCTGTGTGTATTTATATATCTCAAATCAAATTCATATATTGTATAACCCTAGGTAAGCTAATTTGAGTGACTGACAGCACACTAGGTAATGCAATAATTCGTAAGCATAGAGGACTTATTAAAGAATCCAGCCACTGTCATATGCAGAGACTATTTTTTAACACTCTTGCTAAAAACCGGAAAACAAATCCCAGGGGGGGCGAAACAGGTGGAGGTACACACAAGTCAGGTGCACCTTTCGAGCGAAGCTAAAAATGTGTGGAGCTGGGTGAGCGCAGTGGGCGTTTACGTGTGATAGGCAGGACAAGAGGGTGGCATCTTCCTGATACTGACTAGCGAGAAGGCGTGAGAGGGCCGGGACACCGGAGTGGGGCAGGGGTGTGGAGTATTAACTAAAAACAGGCGTAAAAATGGAGAAAAGCAGCTCCGAAAAACACTAAAGACTGTATAAAGTGACACTTGCACTTTCTACCCTCTCCCTCGATGTTCTTGCAGACAGATTTCAGGCTCTGATCTTGAATACCCAGCACCAGAAAAAACGACTTGAGAAGTTGCATACAACGTTTAACGCCAGATCTGAAAAATATAGAAGGTGGTGGGGGAGGGGGGTGTTGAAGGCTGGGGCAGGGCAAACACAAACACGACAAAATGTTGCATTGGGAAAAATGAGCCTGTGATCGATTGGTCAAGCCTGCACAGGGCACTTACATGGAGCTGTCCAGTCAGGTTTACCAGTGCGGGGGCACGTAGCTATAGCCAGGCGTCCCTTGAGGCCTGTATGTTGGCACGGCAACGGGATGGGCACCGATGTGCTGCGTGTGCTGAGGGGTGGTCAGCAAAGTCCCTACAAATGTGGAGGAGAACAGAGCGGCCCTTCGCATACTGCCATGGCAAGAGAATCCAGCTATACACCTGACCCAGATTTAATTGCAATAATAAAATACGGAATCATGACACCACTAATAAAAATACTTATGGCATCATCAGCAGCAGAAGCAAAACATGGAATGCAGATCAGGCTCACAACAGCTGGGATCACTGACTGTTTTAAGCCCAATAACCACTAGGAAGCAAGTTAAACAAGCTTCTGCTTGATATTTCCCCAATTAAAATACAGCTATTCAAGGCTGGCTTTGAAATTGCAACTGACACATAGAAAAATTATTGGTCATTAACAGTAGTGGCCCAAACCATTATGGGGCCCTAAGCAAAATTCTATTAACCTCATTGTCATCTGTCATCTTCCTTTTAATTTTGACAGGGCGATCAGATGCCCCCCCGCTGGCCACTGGGCCCATTGCAACTGCTCAATTTATTGATGCCTTGGGCTGGATCTGGATATTAACAATTTACAATTTAATAGTTGACGTTTTTAAGCAATGTATTTGTACAAAAACCATTTTACATGTGCAGCATAATTTCAATTGAGGAATACAGTGATCTGAATGGAGAGTATGATGAAGCCACTAGAGGACAAAGGTGGAAAGTTCAGGTTCAAAAAGTAAAAATCCAGACCAAGATTTTGTTCCAACCAACCAGTTGAGTACTCTGTGAATGTAACTCTTTTGTACTCAACTAGTTGGTTGGAACAAAATCTTGGTCTGGACTTGTACATTTTGGACCTGAACTTTCCATCACTGCTAGAGAAGCTCACCTGCCGACATGGCCATAGTGGTGCCGGCCACCATGCCCACAGCCACGCCATTGGACCGCGGGGTAGGGACGGGTGAGGGGTAGATGGCTGAAGGGATACTGTTAGGCTGCACCACTGTGGTGTGGTGGATGACATGGGGCTGAGCAGCATACACGGGCTGTGCGTAGTACGCCCCCTAGTGGAGAAACATTTTCAATTCGGTGTAGATGTCGCCAGCACAGATTTTGACGGTCCTCCAAATATAAAATTTCCAAATAATCACTCAATGCGTCCTTACTCTTCCACTTACCTGGGCGTAGAGGTTTTGCTGGGGGTATGCACTTCTGATGGGGTACATAGCTGCCTGGTACGGACTGGGGGACGGGGAGTAAGGTGGGGGGGCACCGTTAGTCTGGGTCGGGGGCACTTTGTACGGTGTCCCTGTGGCATATCCTGCAGTACGAGTCAGGTGGAGGGAAGAGGGGGAGAAAGACAACTCTGGGTGAGGACTACAAGCTAAACTTACTTCCTGATCTCGTTCATGGCTACCCTGTATAATTGCATCCCTCAGGCTTAGAGCCACATTAGTGACAAAAGGAGTCCCTTTTGTGTCTTGTTTTAACAGCATATTGTCACATAGCCACATGATCCGAGCCTATTATATTGGCTCAGGCAACAATACATTCAGACCGTCTCGGATAAACTGCTCGCCTCCGTACTAACCTTGGGCACAGCGAGTGGGCAGTATAGAAACGCCTGCAAAATCAACCGAACGCACCAAGGATTCTGTTATAGACGAAAATAACATTTATGAAAAGATTTCTCCCAATTTGCCTTTCGGCTCAATAAAGACTAAGGCACCACTTTTGAGTTGGCTTCACCAAGATTCACGATGCTCTGGCACGCAGGCAGCTTGTTTACATGAAACCAGCAGCATGCTCCAACATGTGGACAGAACTGAACCAGTCTGTTTACCTAAGCACTTCTGGCAAGAACCCAGGGAACAATTTAAGCCATAATGCAGCAAACATTGGTGCAGAGTGGCAAAGGATCAACTTGCTCCAGGGATGCATGGAGAAACCCATAAACCCAAACCATGGGGGGGGGGGGGGGGGGTGTTGTGTGCCTTAAGCAAGTAGAGTGTAGTCACCAACTGGCAGACTCCGGTCCTAATCTGGACCCAGTGATGTTTACATCTGGACCACTGGGCATTTTTATGTGATCCATATACAATTGTATTTTAAGGCTGGATGACTTTTGAAAAGGCATAGAGTGGCCACCTCACCAGGGCTCTGTGGGTCCTTGGGTTATACTGTCTTGTCCAGCAGTGTTTATAGCTGTTGTTGTGCTAGCAGAGCAGCAGATGTGCTACCTGGCAAATATGATAAACGTATCGGCTAAATGACCAGCACATCACCCCAACCCCCAAATCGAAAGTATTACCATTACCACCAGCACTGGAGTTTGGAGAATTTTAGGTGAATAACCCTGAGCTAGTGTAAATAAGTAAACAAGAAACATGGATAAGGGGAAAGACATCCCCCAACAGGATACTTTCTGACTCCAACTTGCCGTTTCTTGCAAGGCTGACAACCACTCATAGTGGCTCAGAGGACATAACGCCATTCACTCCACTCAGGGTATAAATCTAACACCTCCTGAATCCACTCATCTGCAAGCTGTTCTTGTTCTTTATAGGATGGTCTTGCACATGGCTTCTCCAGGTCCTTAGGTGACTGTCCAACACAAAACTACTCATTCCTGCCTCTGTTTTTCTATAGGTAAAGAGGATGAGAATGGTCCTGTCTTGCACTGATGGCAAGGGCATAAGCCAAACTCAGTTTTGGGAGAACATAATTGACATACATTTTGCTTCAGAAGGACTCCTTACCTGGGGGGTAGCCCGGGCTGCCAGTCTGGTATAGATTGGGGGTATAGGTGGGTGCTGTCGTGGGGTATCCTCCAGGGAAGCCTAACATGAAAAGAAAATATACCACTACATCATGGGTGTTTCTCACTACCAAGAATGCAAAGATTATACTTGTGGTCTTGGCAAGAGCAGTCTTGCTAACTTGCCTCTCAAGAACAAACTGGGGACGCAATGAATCATGGAATTGATCCCATTTGGCAAGGATGCAACCGATGCATCCTTGATATCTGGGGTGGGGCGAGAACAACATCTGGGGATTTTTACAGTCCTCTGTATTTCTGTTCTTGGTATTGGAACTGGTCTTTCAGCAATGGAAGACGACATAAAATGGGTACAATAAAGTATGCATATTGAGAAATACCCCATATCAAGAGGAAAGAGGTTTTTCCTGGATAGAATGGAAAATCCATGGCAGGGCACACACAGATACACTATGGGCAATAGAGAGACGTATTGATGGACTTCAGGAGGAAACCAGAGCATCTAGAGACAAAGGAAACCTGCATGACATGGACAGAACTAAAGGCGCTCTTCATGTCACCTGTTAGGCTCCTTCACTCAACGCCAAACTGCGGGGTTACAGAAAACAAAACCAAATCACTTAATTCTCAGTAAATTCACCCTCCGGCCTCAACAGATGGCGGAGCTGACAGAACGTTTCCAAGCAAGAAATGAGGGGA